AGAAAGTTAGGTGGAACGTGGATAGCTGTAGGACGAGGACTAAGGTAGCTGGGAAGTCAATGTTGATGTTCCCCAGTGAACGTCCGATGGGTGCTCAAGCCTGTGTCGTCGTCGTAGCAGCGTGCACGTTGAAGATAGTTTAGTGATGCATTTAGGAAGTTCTAGTAGTGATGTTTAAGGATTTGTTAAGAACATTCAGCCAAGCTAGGGTAGCTGAAATAAAGAGTTAGGATTAACCTATCTAAGGTTACCTAAATAGCTAGGATAGCTAACGAATAATTATTATATTTTGGATTGTTTGATTAGGATGTGGTCATGGTCTATCCTTTTAGTTAGGTTTTTGGCAGACTAAAGCCACAGCCTCCCCGGTGGTTTGCTTGTTGGTAAGGTAGTAGCTTCCGAGCAGTGTGTGGTTAGCCTATAGTAAAGGCTGATCACTTATGTAAGTTGCCTATACCTATGGGTAGGGCACCAGCTAGGGATGTTCACCCCTTCAGTTGTGAGGAAGAGGGATGTAGTCTAGGCTCTACTCTATGAGTAGAAGTACTGGCTGAATGAATATAGATTTGTGTTTAGAATGTATTTTAAAAAATAGGATAGAAAAAAGAGGAACATCTTAGGTGTTCTAGAAGAAGCTTCCAAAAATCAACATGTAAAATACGTAATAAATATTTATTTATGAAGATAATCCCAGTTTATATTTAAAAGGATCTCTCGCTACGCAACCTGAGCTACGTCCTATGCTGTAGTACTTCTCGACGATACGTTTATTATTAACTAACTACATTAATGGCATGGCTCACAGAGTTTGTTTAAGTGACTAGTGTAGGTGTCTTGATACATTGGCATCAACAAAAGGGTCAGTAGCTGAGCTGGCGGAAAGATTGAAAAGTCAAAGAACTTCTAATTAACACTTTTCGAAACAGTGATCCAGTGACCTTTCTTTAAAAAAAAATATTTTATAATTTATATTTTTTTATAATATCAAATATAGCATAACCACTATAGCACATAATTGCTGCAAAATGTTGGGCATTCTGGCACCGGGGCAACATTTCATTCATTTACGCGGCTTGTGCGTCTCATGTGTGGGAGTGTAAACATAGAAACATAAAATGTCTGCTTATGTCTGCTTATTTTCAAGAAGAACGTGCAATCTGTATAATGTAGGTAAATATATTTTTATAGAAAGACAAAGGAATTTTGTAAAAAAATATACGGTGCTTCTATTTTCTTAATATCCCTCGGCATACTTCGTGTTTCGTGTCGTTGTCGGGTTTGTATTCAGATTCCCTTTGCCTTTGGTATAGACCGGATCCAATTCAGCTTGAAAGTACTTAGAGTTGCTACTACGTTTTTTACTTACTGTAGAATAAAAGGAAAGCTGGTAAAGTCACGACATGTGACACGACGCGAAATGGCATGACAAATAATTTCTCTTACATCGTACACTTTTTTTTTTAAGGTGCTGATGCTTTCGACGGTGACAACAACAACAAAATAATTTTTGAGATATCATAAAAAAACCATAACCCAGTTGTGGAATATTGAAATTGTTTAATGATATTTCAGCTATGCATCGTTAGGGTAAGTTCCGATAAGTTGAACACGTTAACTAATTTTAACCATTTTTAAAAGAGAAATTTGTGCTATATTTTTTGCTATTTAAAACGGATATTTGACCATTTGTCACTTAGCCGCGTTTTAGTTAGTGGACGGCATATTTCCAAAAAGCCCTTAAAACGTGTTTGTAAAGCTTGTGTTGTTTCAGTCGGAAAAGGAAAGAATATTTTAAAAGAATATGATAAAAAAGATAAATCGGTTCCTATTCAGACATATTATTTCATCGATGGCGAATATACTAACATTGCTCATATCTCTGATGAAGAAATGCGTTCAGATTCGGACTGACTTTAAATGATTAATAACCGGAAAATTATTCATTTTTAGTTAAATAATAGATTATTAGAAACACGCTTTATTTAGTTTATATTTTTATTAATTTACTTATTGACATGGAAGCATTATTACGGAAAACTGGAAAATCGCACCCCTCATGGAAGAATGGCAAAAGTGGAGTTACGTCAAACATGTTTATTGCTCCATTAGGTACATAAAAATATAACCCAGATCCTCGCCAATTGTTGTAACTCTATCTACATATTTACAATTATTACAATATTTAGTCGATAGAGTTACAAGAATTGGAGAGGATGTAGGTTATATTTTTCTGTTTCTAATGGAGCAATAAACGTGTTTGACGTAACTTCACTTATGCCATTCTTCCATGAGGAATGTCAAATAGTTTTACAGCTCTGTATACTTGACATGAAAATCAAAACAGAACAACAATAAAGCGCTTTCTGTCCATGGACCACCTGATTGGTTCTCCTTGTTCGACCACAGGCAATTATTTGCTCCCGTAGTTCACGTAGTACGGAATTAATATTTTTATAGATGAGGCCAGGGGCCTACTATGAGATATTTATGAGCTTATAAGCAGCCAGTCAAGTTCCAACTGAATTGCTTAAATTCGTATCATGATCTCTTAGAGGATGGAAAAAAAAAGAAATGAGCTACCCTAACGACAGAATCATCGTAGTTTTAAAGTTACAAATGGCGGATTTCTTTAGTGTTGTACCATAATCTATCGGTAAGTCATTATCGGCATGCAAATATATGGCTTGAATGTTGAAACTGTTTTCTTTTTGTTTCTTTAGTTTACTGTAACCATAGTATGCCTAAACAAACACAAGCCTAAGAATTTAATCTCGAGTGGTATATTATTATAAATGTCAACACACATTTTTAAACTTTAAAAAAAATTTTGTTGCAAGATTACAACTGGTAACTTATTTAGTAGAAGTCACCAAACTGCTGTGCAGTTTGTTGGCGACATGCGCATTCTTATTTAATTATACCTACTTTACTGGTATATAACATTACATAGTCTTAATTGTACTTACTAAATAAAATATAAAAATTACTTTAAGAGGTACGCCTTTAACCTACATTTTAGTACATATTTACATATCGTCTTTTAACTAACTGTCAAGTACAAGTCTATTCAGGTTTCTGCGGATTCTAGTATTCACGTTACTGGCTTTCTTAAACAAATCAATCTATCAAGCAATTTTAACTGGTAACTTATTTAGTAATAGTCATCAAACTGTTGTGCAGTTTGTTGGCGACATGCGCACTCTTACTTTTTTTTTAACGCACACACTCAACATTGCCCTACCTATATCTACTTTACTGGTATATAACATTCCATAGTATTCATTATACTTACTAAATAAAATATAGAAATTACTTTAAGAGGTACGCCTTTAATCTACATTTTAGTACATATTTACGTAACGTCTTTTAACTAACTGTCAAATACAAGTCTATTCAGGTTTCTGCGGATTCTAGTGTTAACAAATATGCTCTCTATCCGCTCACGCGATTCATGCGTCTCTGGAAGCATACCACACCAAGAGGTGCCGGTGGTGATTTTATACCGATTTATCGGATATCGAAGTTATAACAGGTAAAAGAACTAATACTAATTGCTATTTCGGTTACTACTCTAGCAAACTATAAAGATTTTAATGCCTGGGTCTGTCATTTAAAAAAATAAACAACTTCAAAAATACGTCACGACAATCGTGTGTGTTATTGTTTGGGCTGGTGATGTCGGTGTTTATTTATTAAAAACATACCGTAAGTTGCGTTTTTTAAGTTTACCCTGAATATAAATGTTTATGATCTATACTTTAAGGAGTATTTTCATTAGAACCACTCAAACGGAATATTATCATATTTACCCAAGTACACCAAAAATTTCATTAGTGCTTTTTAAGTGCAGGATTTGCGGTGTATTACTGGATTTTATTTGAGATGTTTTTGTTGTAGTACGGAGGGTATTTATTTAGCAATGCAGAATAATAATTTTTATTTTTTTAAACTTGTATTTAAACTGAATCCTTTTTTAATTTGCGAAACCAAATAGCCGCCATTTTGCGGTAGGATGAGCGCATCGCGTGAGCGGCTATACGTTGGTATTGGCCTTTACCCGGCAACGTTGGATTAACATGTCATTGTATTGCAGGTTTTAAAAAAAATAGTCATTTTTAATTGTTAGAGTTGTCATTGGGAAAAATCAGAAACGAGTGGATAATTTTGTTTTCAGGAACTGAGAATAACTAGTAAATAAATGAGTCTTGTTTAATTTAAATTGAACATGAAAATTGAAGCGAACAAATGAAGATGGTCTTTGATCCAACGTTTATATTCGGCAGTCCTATGATTTCCAACCATTATTTCTTCCTTTTTTCATTTGTAGGCAAACTTCATATATAAAAAAAATAAAACAATAAAAACCTCGTAGTGAATTGTTTTAATAACAGAATATCGATAATATGTATGCTTACAAGATCAACACTATCTCAAAATAATTGTTAACAACAATCATCAAAATATACAAACAAACAGGCAATCTAAATTAACAAAATTTGGCATGATTTATAAATAAACTACTTAAATAAGTCTAATTACATGAAATATTTGGGCTATTGTGTGATTTATAGACAAAAAAAATAACACGTGGCTGTGCAATGTAACATTCGATTGATTTGCAGTTTTTCTAAAGCGACATCCCTTAATGCTGCAGCGTCGTATTTTTATTAATACCTAATTATTCTCACTGTCAATATTTTTGTCCAATTGAATTATAATGCATGCGTATAATTCAATAGTACATTTGGAAAAAAATTGTTTTGACATTTGATGTACTTCCCTTTGACAACGGTATCATGTACTGCGAAATGGACACGGTTGGCATTTAAGATGACTTTACGTATTTTCGATTCCCGTGTTTAACACAGACCAATGTAATGCTATCTCTTTTGGCTTAAGACGGCACGTAATAGTTAAACAAAGACAATAACATGTTTATGTTTTCGACGTCGAAATGCATCATATACATATAACGTCTGATTTATATATGTCAACGTAACATATCCTTTAGTTTCTACAGTCTAAGCATGACCTACACAAAGTTGAACGGGAATGCCATGACAGGATGATGTTTTACTATTTAAACGTTAATTATTTATTGTCTCTGGCTGGCTAGCTGGCATCTAACAAGAGCGAGATGGAACTACATACTAAATCATATGAAAGAAATAGATAGATGTACTACCCTGGGAGCGTTCAAGCACTATTAACTGATTGTGTTCAAAATGAGAATAATTAAATTTTTTATTAATTTTATTATTGATTATACTTACCTACCACATTGTTTTGTAATATCGGCAATTTTTCAGTCATACTTTACAATTTGTCGTACGACAAAATCACATGTCATGTCTAGTCATTATCATTGAAATTAATAAGGTGTGTTTGTAATTTGATAACATAATTGGTATGTATCTTGTATTCGTACATTTTCATTGATTGCATTAAAGCAAATTTGACTTTTGTAATATATTACAAGTTATTTTACGATTATCGGTCAATAAAATTATTAAAATGATTAATATCCATTTAAAAATTGCAATAACATTCATGCCAATAATTTATCAACAACACTTTAAAGATTGGGAACTCGAACTAAAATTTTCAAAAAACGCTCATTAGTTAATACTATTTATTTATTAATAATTGGCTATAAAGATAACAAATAATTATGAAACTGAAAATATAATAAAACTTAAACGAATTTTCTCAAAAAAGTAACAAAGTTAAGTCTCAGACGTCGCCATGGACTCACATCAAAAACGAGCTATCGCGTTATACTTACTTCATCGAAGAATCAAAAGAAGAAGGCCTAAAAGATTCAGGGTGCATCCTCTCCGGAAATAAATCGTTACGGATTATTCGTTGTTCTTATTAATGAGTTAAAAAAAGAAGACGACAAATTCTTTAATTTTATTCGGCTGTCCGTATCTACTTATTCAGAACTTTTAATAAAAATGGTAACTGGAAGGAAATTAATTGATCGACTTCAACATCCATAACTTGAGAAAATGACACGCGCTGCCAAATCGAAAATCAATAACAAAAGGCGTGGGAAGGAAAACCCAATCCGCGCGCGTGCAACGCGTCGCCCGCGAACCGGCCGTAGAGTGCGCGGGCGACGTCCGCCAACCGCGCGGATGACCGCGTCCCGTCCGCTGCGGGGGTAAAACGCGTCGTGAAATGTGCTACTAAATTTTGCATACATTTCTACGTTCTTCGGAAGCCGCGGTCCCGCAACCGCGGCAGACGCGGTTGAAAACCGCTCCAGTTCTTAGCCTCACAGGCTTAAATAGGATTACTCTAAGAGCTCATAGTAGGCCCCCTGTACCCCACCTGCGGTGAGGTCGACCTCGGTCTGCGGCGCAAGGTCAGTGTGCTTATGCTCTTCGGTAGCACACCGTTTTGTACTATGGGCGCTCTTTACATGGAAAAAAAGAAAGCTTATATGGCGGCTATATCGAAAAACGGCGGAAACTAAATTTTTACACTGAAATTTTCTACTACTAAAATTTCGGTTCAATGAGAACATTTTTTCTGCTGCCAAAAAACGCATGTCTTGTATGGCAGCCATCTTAGAATAAAAACACATAGAATGATAATTTCATATCAAACGAACTGTCACAAGTGAGGCAAATATCAAATTCATGTAGGCTAGTTTTAGTAGTAGGTTAATTTTCGGTTTTAGTGAATATTTATATAAAAATACAAGTTGAAACGCGTTACTTCTTTGTGGAATGTGACGTTAGTATCTATTTTATGTTTGTCTGACGTATTTTTACACCCATTTACCGCACATTTCGTCATTTTTAGCTAAAATTCTTGATCTGTTCGCGGTGCAAGTTGACCTTGAGCACTGAAGGCCCGCCCGCTCGTGTAGGCCCTTTTGGCGCGGTTCAATTTGCCTCACTTAGCGTGTGCCGACTATATTGAAAAACAGCCATATTGAAAAATAGCGAAATGTAAATTTTTACTGCAAATTATTATTATCAATCACATATACAGATTTTGAGCCGAGTTAGAATAAATTATTATCAGCCGCCAAAAACGTTTGTATGGTGGTCATATTAAAAATGGCGAAAAATTAATGCTGATCAGAAATTATTATCAAGCACCATCCCATGCCACTTTTCAAAGGGATCAGAGCAAATTTCAAAGCAAGTTTTTCTTCGGTCACCATTTTGAATTCGCCATCGTTCATTGTTTTTGACACAGGTAGTCATTGGCAGTAGACCACTGTTACCTTCTATGACATTTCTTCCAGCACCTCCTACCTATCTCTAATAGTTACCGTGATAGAGGACCATCTCGTTTATTTGAATTTCGAACATTTTTTTATTTTCGGCGGAATTTACCTAGCGTGACTCATAAAAGTGCACAAATATTCCCTTCATATATTATAGTTTTGCAGACCGTTGATCACACTTTTATATTTTTCACATTAGGTCATCTCATCATTTGTAAAGTTGCTTTGGAACCTATCCGCGTACTACTGTATAAATACCTTTTTTCCACCATGTCGGGAAGTATGCGTTCCATTTGTTTGAGTGAGTTACAATTTGTAGCTGTATAATATTTCTCCATGTGATACGAAATCAGTACCTACCTACCAGTAAAACCATAGATATAGGAAAAAAGGGACACTTGGTATGAAGGCGTGATTCGTATTGCCTCGATATGATCAAAATGCACATATACGATATGCAGCCTGTTTCTCACTAACAGCGTCCATGCATTCGCGATTGAACCAAGGGCGTCCTCTGCGATTGGCGATGACACTGGAAGACGGTATATAGTAATCCATAGCCGTTCCAATCTCATCGACAACAGCATCGGCAGCTGCTGAGGCATCCTTTCCCGCAAAGCATTGCTGCAACCAAGGGATGGACGCAAAGTAGTCGCGCATACCATCCCAATCCGCCGACGAGTAGTGCCAAATGCGACGAGTGACCTCCTTCAGCTTAGTTGGAGGCATTTGGGAAACCTTACACCCAACCAAACAGTGATCAGAACTTCCCAGGGGGGCGCTGACTGATACTGTATAGTAGGTAGGGTGACTCGCGAGCAGAAGGTCAAGCAAAGAGGGTGCTTGATCCGATATGTCTGGAACCCGGGTGGGCTGGGTTACCAGTTGGGTCAAGTCATGCGTGAGAGCGAAAGCGTGGGCAGTTCTACCTGCATGGTCAGTCTTGAGGGAACTTAACCATGATTCATGGTGAGCATTAAAGTCCCCCAACACGACCATCTCCGCAAACTGCGCCTGCGCGTCAAGAGTCGCCTGGCTCAGTTGGTCAAAGAGCCTAGTTGTCTCCGCATCCCCGCTGTGGGATCTATATAAGCACGCGAAGACTCTAGCTGAACAACTAGATTCTACGAGCACCCACATAGTGGAAAAGGAGGGGTCCTCCAGGCAGCGCAGACGGCGACAGCACACATCCGAACGAATATATACACATACCCCGGCTTTGGCCTGAAAGTTTTCCTCAAGCGAGTAGCCGGGGTAGTTCAAGTAACTCATATCATTCGGACGGCGGATCTGCGTCTCCGTCAGGAAAAGCAGGGCAGGCCGGGCTGTCTCGAGGTGATGGTGGACAGCTTTGAGGTTGGAGTGGAGTCCGCGGATGCTAGCGAACTCAATAATAAACGCGGTGGGGGGATTAGGCACCGCTGGACGATCTGCATTCTTATGTTGCGCTGTCATGGTGGGTAAGAAGGACGGTAGTGTGAAGAGATGAAGCCTTCGGCACCGTACCGAAGAAGAAAAACGAGGGGAACTGCAATACATGCCATTGATCTTTTGAAGGATAGCCGGCTGACCCGCCGAACGGAAGGGCCCCCGTACCCCCCCGGGATATGCCGCCGGGACCCCATATTCCGGTCACTAACCGGCACGACGACCTACCCCAAGATTATGCGCGGCATGGTGGGGCAGCCTCTAGGGGTAGTTAGTCCCTATTGGGCCCCTGTACTGTACCGCGGGCGGCCAGCGGACAACCGTTTCTACGGGTCTCCCTGGGCGGCAGGTCAACTAGATATCCCTCAACAAGTGACATGGCGAATATCCGCCTCAGTCCTCCCAGATACCGCGCCGAAAACTCCACGTGCACTGGATGTACACCAACTGATCCCTGAACGCGATTCGCAAAAGCGTTTCACTGTGGAGGGTTTTCCGCCGTGTGTACTGTGGTCGCTATCCAGTCGGCACAAAGCCTACCACAACGCTAAGCAGATGGACACTTGTGACGCCCTCGGTCGCCTCTTACGACCCCCACGGGCATGTATGGGGAGGCGACAATGTATTCTTAAGCCGTCGCCCCACGGCGCAAGGACTTCTACCCGCTGTCAACAATCCGACCCGAGAAAATAACTATCTAGATCATGTAGTGCTACAAACTTCCTGCTATGACTTTTAATTTGCCTACTGCTGTCCTTTTCTGTCTCGCGGAGAGAAACGTCTATAGACTGATGAATAACCGTAAACGTCGTAACCGTAGACACAAATTTACTAATTGAAATGATTATTATTATTATTAAAAATAATACCCAATTAATTAAATTGTAAATTTGATTCTAGGCCAATTTATAATCATGGATCAGTCCTGGCTTACTGCGATGTATTAAAATTAGAGATTGTATGCATAAAAAATTAAGAATGTACCCTAATAACGAAACTCTTAAGTTAACATATACGTGTGGCGCACTATAAGTCAGAAATGAATTTATTGTTTCTCAAAATATTCTGCGTTAGCGTTAATGCACTTTTTCATACAAATGAACCAATTTTGAAAACATTTATGCCACTCCTCCGTGACAATCTCTGGAACATATTTTTCATACTCTTCGACAGGCTCTTCATGTGACGAAAATCGTTGACCGCGTAACTGGTTCTTAGTTTTTGGAAATAAATAATAGTCACAGGGTACCAAGTCGGGACTGTACACGGGATGGCTCATAAGGTCAACGTTGTTCACTTTCAAAAATTCATTTGGTCTGTCTGGCCGTGTGAGAACTTTCATCCTCG